CAACCTCAAATTCCTGGGCTCAAGCAATCCTACTGCCTCAGCCTCCCGAGTAGCTGGGACTACAGGCATGTGCCACCATGCCCGGCTAATTTTTTCTCTATATATATATTTTAGTTGTCCAAATCATTTCTTTCTATTTTTTAGTAGAGACGGGGTCTCACTCTTGTTCAGGCTGGTCTCATCGAACTTCTGACCTTGAGCGATCCACCCGCCTCGGCCTCCCATTGGTAGAACTTTTCGACGATAGCTCATCTCTGCTCCATGTGACATCAGCTGGGGTGATTCAAGTAGGTCTGGAAGATCAATTCCCAATATGGCTTACCCATGTGGCTAGCAAGGTGGTGCTGGCTGTCTTCTGAGCGCTCATTTGGAACTGCTAGCCAGAGCCTCAGTTCTCTTCCATGCAGCCTTTGCACAGGCTGGGTTGGGCTTCCACCCACACAGCAACTGGGCTCCAAAAAGAAGCATCCCAGGAACCAGCGTTCCAAGAGGGTGAGTTCCGGTGTGCGAGTGCTTATCAAGTCTTATTAATCATGCTTGGTAATCAAGCCTTGCTTCCTGCGTGCTAATGTACCGTTGCCTGAAGCTAGTCAAATGGCCAAGCCCAGAGTCAACGGGGGAGACAACCATGCAAGGATTTGAGTTCTGAATAGGAGCCTGTTTCATTGAAAGCCAAAGGAACAGTCTACCACAAAAGGGTAGCTGCAGAGTTATAATATAAAGAATATACCTTGATCTGCCTTCAGAGAGTTCAGAGGAGAAGCGTTTTGAGTACCAGTAATGTTTTATTGCACGTCCCAATGAGTAGATGTGGGGGACAGCCATTTACTCAGGACAACTGTTTGCTTATGGTATCGTACTACAGATTTCACAACTGAAAATCAGAAAAGCATAATCTTGAGCCCAGTAACCACAGGATGGTCTAGCTAAGGCTGGAGCCCGGGAAAGGGCACTTTGCACCATGACACAAATTTATTTCTTGCTGTTAATTCTGCAATCGATCCAAGCTAACGACATGTTTCCACTGTCCCAGGCTGTTTTATCACTTGTTTGTATAAAGAAGCATGTGGTAACTTGAGGGATATCCTTAGGCAAATAACTCAAATTGTTAGGTTTCATTTTCCTCATTTCTCTCACAAGGAAGTTGAAGTAGGTGTTTACTACAATTCCTTCCAATTGTTATATTTTACTATAAAACATTATAGTCATAATATTATATCATGGTACATCCATCAGTAACGAAAAAAATATGATTTCATTTCGTGACAAGCACATTCCTTTAACTAGTTGGAGTCGTCAAAGCTAATTGAGAACGGAATGGTTAGTTAATCCGAACTTTCTCTGGGCATACCTACTTGATCCCAGCATGTACTGGCTGTGGAAAAGTGCAACCGCATGAGTGGAAACGGCTCTCGACTTTGCCACTGCCAGCTCTTTCTCTGCTATGAAACTTGGTTTCTTCTTTGATCAAGAGGTTAATTTCTGCCTTGCTTAGCTCACAGTATTGCAGAGAGACAAACGAGATAAGAGATGTGAAAGTACTTTAGCTTTGATTAGTTTCAGGGTTTTTTTTCTGTCCTTCTGACCACACACTACTCAATTCTGACAGCTTTGCATTAATATGGGATTCACTCTCAGTTATTCACTAACCTGTAGATTTCCAGCCCCGCCCACACCAAATGGGGAGGTCCCACCCTTTCAACTTCCACTGTGGCTAAATCTGTGATCTTTTCAGTGAAACCCCGGGACTGTACCTAAAACAAACAAACAAACAACAACAACAACAGAAAAAACAAGACATTTTAAAGAGGCAATTTAAAACACTTCACTGAGATTGTCCTTTTTTGTTTTCTCCCTTTCCCGTCCTTAGAATGCACCAAATAAAAAGGCCTTTTTTTTTTTGTAAGCTTCACTTTCACTTTCAAGAATGCAGGAAATTTACCACAGACTTCCCTGATGAAAACGTCTGGATTTGGACTAATGAAAAAAGGAATGGCCAGCAGTCGTCAGAATAAGTGAAGGTATATATTTTAACTTCTTATTGGGGCAGGATCTCTCTTGCCACATAAAGTTAGAATGTACTTTGGTTTTAGCATTGTTTGGTCTTTCTTTGATCTGGTGCTTGAAATCCAGTCAGAGTCATTCAACAAGGAAAATGGAAGAAAAGGGAGGTGATATGGGTATGGGGACAAAGGTATCAGAACTCAGAATTCGAGTAATAGCAACAATATCTAATTCATATATTTTATGCAGTAATTTAAGAAAATTTTCTCTCTAGAGTTCTGTACCTGGAAAAAACACATTAGGGAAGCTATGGAAATCATTTTGCAACAGCCATTTAAAACAAAAAAATCACATCTTTGCCTTAAAAAAATAAAACCCAAAGAGCTCTTAAAAAGGCTCATCTTTTCTTACTTTTGTTGGCGGGAGGGAAAAGAGAAGCTGGAACTTGTCTTGAAAAGGAGAGAAGCTTCAGGTGTTCCTAGGAGTAAGTAAATGGCTTTCTTTCACCTAATGAAGGCAAATGGAGCAAGTTGAGATGTGGAAAGAGGTTCAGATGTGTGGGAAAATCAGAAATTAGCATCAGCAAGGGTGGGATGCTCTGGTGAAGACAGTCAGCTTTCAGCAGTATTAAAGTTTCAGCAAGTTGATGTTCAACTTCACAATATGATTATGTGTTGCATATGGGTGCCTGCGTATTAACTTAGTAAAAATATTACGAAGTTTACAAACCAGATAGTACAAACCAAACCATGAATACTGCTTCACTCCAGGTAGTCTGGCTCCAGACTCTGTTTTCTAACCATAATGCAACACTGTCTTCCAGCTGGATAAAGAAATGTAATTCCATGCACCCTCAGAAAATCTTTTCAAAATTGCAAAGTCCAGCGAGTCTGTTTTTTATTTCTTTTTCATTATCTTTGTTTCTGTTAGGTCATACTCAACAGCAATTTTTTCTTCACTCTCCTTTCATCCCTTTAACTGTATTTTTGTTTGTTTTACTGAAGAACATCCTAGAATAATCTTTTCCTGTAGGTTACATGGTTATAAACTTATTCAATCTCTGTATACCTCAAAGTACTTTTTCCCTTTTCTTTCATTGTTCAGCTGGATATGAAAATTTAGGTTCAAAATAATTTCCTCTAAACATTCTGAAAGCTTGTCCCTATTATTTTCTAGTGGTTCATGTTACTAATGAAAAGTTTGTATCAATCAGGATCTCTTTCTTTTGGAAATAATTGATTATGTGCTCTCCTTACAAGGTCTTAGAATTTTTTTGTGAATGGTCGCAATTCTGAAATTTTGTAAGATTCTCTCTTTGCATGTTCCTTTTTTGCTCAGCCTGCCTAGCGCTTGGTCAGTCTTGTCCACGGATGAAGTTTGTCTTCAGATCTGGGAATATCTTTCAGTCATTCAGGGATACACTTTGTAATGAATTAGTCCTCAGTAATTCTGATCTCTACAGCCCTACCAGAGAGGTGAACGATACCCAAACAAGGAGGAGAATATATTGTAGTGACTATCTGTGAGTTGGTAAGTTGAAGTAGGAAGCCCTTAAGGTACTAGGAGAAGAGGTTTGGGAGAACCTCAGAGAGGTAGAGGGTAGAAAGCTGGTCCCTGCTTGCAGAATTTATCATTTCCAGCCCCGCATTCTTCATGCACCTGAGCAAGTTGGTAATGTGTATCCTTGCTGCGCTGAGCTGCAATGTTCCTCATAGCCTATGGATATGAAAATTGTGTGCAGCTTTAAATATATTTAGTGCCAGTATTATAAAGGCCATAAGATGGGAATATTAGTTTACGAAGCTGGTCTTATTTTTCCGTTTCTGAGAACTAGATTAGAATATTAGTAAAACCACGAGTTTTAAAGCACATTAGAATAATTCTAAACACTCAGATTCGTTCTGTTTTTCTACGATTAATCACCTAAGATAAAGTTTATTCTCTAAAACACCTGGAATTATTTTTGTGTCATGACTTTAAATCTTATGGGAAGTCTACTTAAATATCAGTATCATTGATTCATCTCCATATATTGAGGAAGTATTCAATTTTTTTAAATATCTTAAAGTGAAACTAGGTTGTTGATCATACCAGAGAGTACCACATTGGGTTCACATTCCATTAAAATAAAGTATGAGTATGGAGATGAGAGTGGTTTTCTTGGGCTGATTCAATGCCCATGGAAGGCTATTTAAGCAACATATATCTAAGGATGAAAGAAATGTCAAGAAAACTCAGAGGTGTGTATTTCATGTATCACAGGTGAGACATCAGAGATTTTGTCTAAAGTTCATTGATCAAGACAAAGAGTTTTTGGTACAGTGGTTAAAATTATACAGTTAACAATAAATAAAATAAAAAATAACTAAAGGAAAGTTGTGAAGAGAATGAGGGAATAGTATAATTAAGTTCCTTATCTTTATAGTGAGAAGAAAATGCTTAAAATCAGTAAATGAAGAAATAGAAATTATTTATTTATTTAATTTAAGCATATTATTATTATTATTATTATTATTTAAGTTTTGGAGGCAATCATGAAAATTAAAAATAGAAACTATCAGGAGAGGTTACCTCGGAACATTGTAACTGGGCTGGAAGTGAAGGAGGGGAGGGAGTTTGTAAATTTCATTTTTCACCTTTCTGTGCTGTTTTTTATTTTTTTATTTGATGTATTACTTGTATAATATACACTTGTATAGCAGAAAAATGTAAGTAAAAAGATCATACATAGTCCTGTTTGTTTATATATTTTACAAGGAATATGCCAATGCATCCCCATATGAAAGTATGTGTTATTAATGTTGTCCATTCTTTTTATATTTCCTTTATACAGCAGCATCATGAGACAGGCTTTGCCTTTTCATATCTACTCCCTTTGGGGACTTTTGCCGTTTTGGATTCTGTGTTCGTCCTCTACCAACAAATGCACTGTTAGACATGAAGTAGCTGACTGCAGTCACCTGAAGTTGACTCAAGTACCCGATGACCTCCCCACAAACATAACAGTGCTGAATCTTACCCATAATCAACTCAGAAGATTACCATCTGCCAATTTTACAAGATACAGCCAACTTACTATTTTGGATGGAGGATTTAACACCATCTCCAAACTGGAGCCAGAATTGTGCCAAAACCTCCCCTTGCTGAAAGTGTTGAACCTCCAGCACAATGAGCTATCTCAACTTTCTGACAAAACTTTTATGTTCTGCATGAATTTGACTGAACTCCATCTAATGTCCAACTCAATTCAGAAAATTCAAAATAATCCCTTTAAAAACCAGAAGGTAAGATGGAAATGTTCACTGTTATCTAATGCTAAGTTTTCAAGTCATTTATTCAATGTAAGAGGAAAAAATCCAGTCTATCCCAGTTGAGGGTGTGGGTACCAACGCACAAATATTGCCATTAGGATTGAAAATGTTTTCAAAATACAAAACATAGACTTAAATCAGTTTCAACCTTAATTTTTAAGAAGTCTACCTGTCCCACTTTCTCCCATTAGAAATAGAACTTAGACACAAGAGATGTTAAATTATGATCAGAGAAGAGTCAGAATATCCTGTAAGAACACAGAAAATAAACTTTCAGCGCTGCTCATTTAGTATGTGAAGTAATGGAAAAAAATGTTGAGTCCAAATTCTGACTTAAATAAAGTTAACAAATCGATATCATAATTGTTCAACTAAAAATTACCTATTCTTGATTTAAGAAATATCCTCAAAGTATCACTTTTCCAATGACTACCACCTTTTTCTTTTCAGCACTTTGCTTGAATTTTATTACTTTTTTCCTTTTATCTTTAATGGACATGTAATAATTTTTACATATTTATGGGTTACAACGTGTAATGATCAAACAGGGTAATTAGCATATCCATCACCTCAGTTATCATTTCTTTCTGTTGTGAATATTCAACATCCTCTCTTCTAGTTTTTCAAAAATACACAATAAATCACAGTTAACCATAGTCACCCTACAGTGCTGCAGAATATCAGAAAAAAAAATGCATGTTATTATCTCTAAATCTTAGGAAATTATTAAGTGCTTTTCTTAAACCAAAGTGATTTTTAAATCTCCTTGTTGTCTTCATTTTGTGGCCTTATAAAAATTTGAGCATTGCTCCTCCTCAGATGCCAAGAATAATGTACAAATTTAAATATGCTGTGAAACAAAGTGATTTGCTCACTAGTTATTTTAAAGCCTTTCTTGTGCCTTCTTAGATTCCAATGTGTATGAAATGTCTTTGGATATACGAACTTAAAATCTAGTTAGAGAAGTCATTGGCAAAATGTTATTTTTCTTTTTAAAACATAAATAAAAGTCTGGTTCTCTTTAATAGAGATTACATTAGATTTTGCCCTAACAGGTAACAGCTTTTCCTTACCCAAATTTGAAGTTTCTGTGTTCAAAGTAACACAGGGTGATAAAACATCCCACAGTACTGACAAAAAAACCAAAAATTAATATTCTCTACTAGTCATGATCCAAAATTTATATAACTATTAATCTTTCTCAATATAAAAATCTATTTAGGATTTCATAGATGGCAAAGTTCTAGTCATGTTTTTTTAAGGAAACATTTTTTTCTTCTTTTTTCTCTTGTTTATTTTCAAGGCTAGTGCAAGATACTATGTTTGATAAGCAACATGACTATTCCTTATATCATAAATAAATAAATATATTTATATCATAAATACATGCTTCTTATAAATAAGCAAATAAATTCTGAATGCTCCTTGTATCATAAATAAATAAGCTTAAATTCTTTTTATTTTGGTAAGAGAAATAAAGTGATTCTTGAAGTAAGAAACTAAACACTAGCAACAATGATGTTTTTAATCACAACAAAGATTATTTATTACTCCTACTGTTAGTTTTCTAGAGAATAATAAAGAGGTGACATTTTGCTGTTGAGAGATTTCAAAAATTCACTTACATTTAAAGGAACTGTTTTTGACAGAAAGAGTCTAACATACACATTATTTTTTTCCTCTCAGAATTTAATCAAATTAGATCTGTCTCATAATGGTTTATCATCTACAAAATTAGGAACCCAGGTCCAACTGGAAAATCTCCAAGAGCTTCTATTATCAAATAATAAAATTCATGTAGTAAGAAGTGAAGAACTTGATTTCCTTGCCAATTCGTCTTTAAAAAAATTAGAGTTGTCATCAAATCAAATTAAAGAGGTAAGAAGTAAGGTAAAATCATTTTGTGTTCTACATTTAAGTGTTGGTAGTCCCTAACTGTCAGGGATAGGAATTTAAGATCCCTAGAGAAAGGGTTGATACTGTTTGCCACGTCTTCCAGAAATTCTGCACGTCTACTGCTCGGGGCCATTGGTACCATCCTCACAGGAGAGTGTGGGCAGCTGTTCGGAGACGTCAGGAGGCAGGACCGTGTTGCCCATCCTCATTCATGATGGAACAGCTCTTGGACCTTGGGGACCTCCCTGAGTTTTGGTTTACTCACTTGTAAAGTGGAAATAGTACTACTTTCTATCTCACAAAATCTCTGAAAGAATTAAAATAGTATGATGGTTAAGAGCACAGGGTTTAGAGCTGGGTTAGCTCGCTCCCTCTCCGGGCTTTATCTTTTAACAGTTGTGCAATCAGGCAAGTTATTCACGTTCTCTCTGATCCAATCCCCCCTCCCCCCACCCTATTTTCAATAATACTACTACTTCATAGGACTGTGTAGTGAAGAATTTAGTAGTGTCTGGCATATAGTAAGTGCTCAATAAATCATAAGTAGCACTACGTTATTCTAAAAACCTTCCTATAATGAAGTAACCTAATTAACCATATCTTCTTGGATTATAATCTTCAATGTAACTCTTTTTGTGTATAGGTTTCTTTGTGTTTTACAGATATTTTGTTCCTTCACAGGCTATAGACTATTGAAAATCTTTAACTAAAGCAGCCTTTTAGAAGTCTATATTATTTTCAGACATAAAAATAGACTGTGCACAAAATTATGCTGAGATATTAAAATATTTTGTGCAAGCTTCTTATTTTATTTTTTTAAACAGCATTTTTCCCTGACTAAAACATTTATTATAATAATCTTATAAAATATATAAGCAATGAGAGGCAATAAAAATAAGAGATAATAAAATACCACTCAAAAATCCATAATCAGAAATAACCACTGTTAGCATCAGGGTACATTTATCTCCAGCTTTTCTCCGAATAATTATAAGGAAAAATAACAACAGCTGAAATTCTTACTGTACTTAAATTTTACTGTTCTTTGAACTCGTACGGTACTTACTGATGTGCCAATTTTTTTCTTATATTTTATGTATGTAATCTTTTAATCAACTTATTCTTATTGTCATTTTACACAAGAGTGACTTGAGATGAAGAAGTGACATATTTCAGGCCCCACAGGGGACCACCTGGGACAGAGCTGGGTTTCTGGTGAAGTTAGACGAGAGCCCCTGCTCCTAACAGCTATGCTATCTTGACCCTTGAGGATAATGGTGTCTCCTGCTTTTTAAAATTAATATCATACCAAGAACATCTCTCATGCAATTAAGAATCGTTCAAAAACTTATTTCAGTGGCTGCAAAATAATGCTATCATATAGATTTATCAAAATTAATTTCATAATTTCCTGCTTTTCATTTTAACTCATTATATTTACAATAAAACACCCTTTCTTCCACATTCTTTTCTTTTTTTTCCCATTAGCTCTAACATCTCCCAAGCGACACATTAGAAATCAGAACCCCTTTGCTCCCTGGTGGGTTTAAGTGCCAGGACTGGCCACTGTATACTCTGGATTCTTCTCTCTCACCTGCTGTTCTCTTGTCCCAACTCTTGAGTCCCAGGATAGCCAGGCTCTGCTACGGGAGTGCAGCAGAGTGGCAGGGAGCTGGAAACACTATAGTAAAATTAAGTCTGGAGAAAATTTGGGTGGAAAGACGAAAGGGATAGCTGGAGCTCAGAGTTCCAGAAGGGAAAGTGTGTGTCACTGTTTGGTAATAAAAACCATCCATTCATTCCTTCCACGATGTTCACTGAGAACAAGTGGCCACCAAAAAGAACCAGGATCTGCCCCAGTGGTGACTTCACAAGTACTTTATTCACTATAATTGTACTCAGTGTGCAGAAGTAAAAGTACCAGGAGACGACCTAGACTGAGAGGTCAGGGAAGGCCCCTTGGAGAGGTGGCATCTGAGCTGAGACTGTGAATGCTAAGCAGACGTTAGCCAGGGGCAGGGGCAGCCGGGGAGCGGGAGTGGGAGGTAGGTGTTACAGGCACAGAGTGAGGAAGAGCTGTGTGTTAGAGCAATGGAGAGAAATGCCCTCCCCAGGGACGTGGTGAAAGGTGAATGGAGACTGAGTAAAGAACTGTATTAATAATTAAACTTTTCAATGGTCTTATAGAGTCTATTTTGATTATTAACCTCTTTTTTTTATTCCCCCCTTTAGTTTTCTCCAGGGTGTTTTCGTGCTATTGGAAAATTATTTGGCCTTTCTGTGAACAATGCCCCACTGGGCCCCAGTCTCGCAGAGAAGCTGTGTTTGGAATTATCAAGCACAAGCATTCAGAATCTCTCTCTGAGTAACATCCAGCTGTATACAACCAGCAACATGACTTTCATTGGACTAAAGCAGACAAATCTCACCATGCTCGATCTTTCCCGTAACAACTTAAATGTGATTGGTAATGACTCCTTTGCTTGGCTGCCACACCTAGAATATTTCTTCCTGGAGTATAACAATATACAGCATTTGTCATCTCGCTCCCTTCACGGGCTTTTCAATGTAAGATACCTGAATTTGAAACAGTCTTTTACTAAACAAAGTATTTCCCTCGCTTCGCTCCCCAAGATTGATGACTTTTCTTTCCAGTGGCTAAAACGTTTAGAGTACCTTAACATGGAAGATAATGACATTCCAGGCATAAAAAGCAATATGTTTGCGGGATTGATAAATCTGCAATACTTAAGTTTATCCAATTCCTTCACAAGTTTGAGAACGTTAACAAATGAAACATTTGTATCACTTGCTCATTCCCCTTTGCTCCTACTCAACCTAACCAAAAATAAAATCTCAAAAATAGAGAGCGGTGCTTTCTCTTGGTTGGGCCACCTAAAAGTACTTGACCTTGGTCTTAATGAGATTGGGCAAGAACTCACAGGCCAGGAATGGAGAGGCCTAGAAAATATTTTTGAAATCTACCTTTCCTACAACAAATATCTACAACTGACTAGCAACTCCTTCGCTTCGGTTCCAAGCCTTCGACGACTGATGCTCAGAAGAGCGGCCCTTAAGAATGTGGACAGCTCTCCCTCACCTTTCCACCCTCTTCACAACTTGACCATTCTGGATCTGAGCAACAACAACATAGCCAACATAAACGATGACATGTTGGAGGGTCTTGAGAGATTAGAAATTCTGGATTTGCAGCATAACAACTTAGCGCGGCTCTGGAAACATGCAAACCCTGGTGGTCCTGTTTATTTTCTAAAGGGTCTTTCTCACCTCCACATCCTTAACTTAGAGTCTAATGGCTTTGATGAGATCCCAGCTGAGGTCTTCAAGGATTTATTTGAACTAAAGAGCATCGATTTGGGATTGAATAATTTAAACATTCTTCCACCATCTGTTTTTGATACTCCGGTGTCTCTAAAGTCATTGAGCCTTCAGAAGAATCTCATAACATCAGTTGAGAAGAATGTTTTCGGGCCAGCTTTCAAGAACCTGAGTAATTTAGATATGAGCTTTAATCCTTTTGATTGTACGTGTGAAAGCATCGCCTGGTTTGTTAATTGGATTAATGAGACCCGTACCAACATCTCTGAACTATCAAGTCATTACCTCTGCAACACGCCACCTCAGTATCACGGGTTCCCAGTGATGCTTTTTGATACATCACCCTGCAAAGACAGTGCCCCTTTTGAACTCCTTTTCATGATCAATACTGGCATCCTATTGATTTTTATCTTTATTATACTGCTCATCCATTTTGAGGGCTGGAGGATATCTTTTTACTGGAATGTTTCAGTGCATCGAGTTCTTGGTTTCAAAGAAATAGACAGACAGCCAGAGCAGTTTGAATATGCAGCATACATAATTCACGCTCATAAAGACAGGGATTGGGTCTGGGAACACTTGTCCCCAATGGAAGAGAACGACCGATCCCTCAAATTTTGTCTGGAAGAAAGGGACTTTGAGGCGGGTGTCCTTGAACTGGAAGCAATTGTTAATAGCATAAAAAGAAGCAGAAAAATTATTTTTGTTATAACGCATCATTTATTAAAAGATCCATTATGCAAAAGGTAGGTCAACATTGTGAAATTTTAAGTGTATACTTGTTTTCAATTGAACTTTTAGATATTACTAACATTATAACTCACAATCCAGATTTAAAAAGAAAATTAAGAAAAAAACCTGATTTTTTTGTGACAGTTTCAAGTAAATTCCACAGAGAACTTTAGATTGTAGAGCTTTTGGGTGTTAAAAACTGTTTCGATTATATAACTTAATTCAATTATTTTTTTTACTCAGATTCAAGGTACACCATGCAGTTCAGCAAGCTATTGAACAAAATCTGGATTCCATTATATTGATTTTTCTTGAGGACATTCCAGATTATAAACTGAACCATGCACTCTGTCTGCGAAGAGGAATGTTTAAATCTCACTGCATCTTGAATTGGCCGGTTCAGAAAGAACGTCTAAATGCCTTTCATCATAAATTGCAAGTAGCACTTGGATCCAGAAATTCAGTACATTAAATTTATTTAAAGATTAATTTAGCAAAGGACAAACTTTCTAAATTTAAAAAGTTCCATGGTAAATTGAAGTTTTACTTGAAAGTAATGTAATCTGTTTATTCATATTTATAGGTAATGATATTAGATCACAATTATATTTCGCCTGTGGAAATGTATCTCCCTATTTCAGGCCTCTTAATGACAATTGACTTAATTTGACCCCAGATAAACATATAAACACATAAGAACATCCTCTATTAATGGATACACAATTGGTCACTGATGCCTCTGACAACTTAAAAGGGTTTTAAAATATTTTTCATTTAAGTAAAAGTTAGAATTATATGGAGATTTGTGATAGTCATTTTGTTAGATGCACTTAGAAGGAAAGATAATTGTTTTAATGGGTATCATGCTATTTCAACTGTAAAGGAGTAAAATATATACTCACATTTAAAAAAGTTTAGTTACAATATTTTTTCAATTGAAAAACATTGTATCTTAGTAGTGCCCGTCCCAGTGTTGATTTTGTTAAATGTTAAATACCTTTTTAATATGCATCCTCAAGGGTGGAAAATGTTTACAATTCGTTTTGGTTACTTAATGAAAGAAATATTTTAACAAGTACTTGTATTTTCCTGATAGTGTTTCTGCTACAGGAGGGTAGAAACAATTCTCTTACTTAAAAGTATTGTAGACAGGCTTGCTTTCTGAAGCGTGATGAGTAGATTGCCTTTGTGGAAACAAAGAATTTCCCTTCCCTGGTCAAAGACTCAGGAGGTGGCGTTGGCCAAATCACTTGGTCCCACTGGAATTCTTTGACTCCTGATTTTGAAAATTATGATGAAAAGTAAAATCTTAACCATTCCTGTACAATTAGTGATGATGCTATTGTATGATATATTCACATGGCATGTATTATTTTCCCATCAAATAATATGCTATGTGTAAATTAGTCCTCATCTAGAAAGACTATTGTTTTATTTTTGTTTTACGATAAAATAAAAAAGTTTATTTTTGTTTTACAATAAAAAGAGTCTAATCATTGGAAATAGATATGAATAGCTTTTTGAAATATTTATAGTTCTGGTATTTAAATATAAAAGAAAGTTAAGATTATAAAGCTGAATTAATTTCTGTATTTGAAATTCTCATTTGTCTGATGGGAGCATTTGAAATGGTGCATTTGAAATGCTGATTTAAATAGTTCCATATTCTCAGGGCTAAATTCACATAACCCTGGAAAAAGTAATACACTGTACTGCTGGTTCTGAGAGTTTACAGTCTGCTAACAACATGGATGTATGGAAGACTAATTTTCACTCTCACATCATCTGCCACTCTAACACCTGTTTTAATTAAGATTTATTTTTTAACTGTGCAACAATCCTGTTTTATTTTTGGCATCATAAAATAATCACAATGGCTTCTTTTCTTGATATGCTTTGTATGTTATCTAACAATATTCTAAATTCTCCATTAAAATATTTTTCAATAAATTGTTACTGTGAATTAATAGATCATCAATTTGTAAAAGCAAGGCAGGAAATATTTTGCTTTTATTCCCTTGTTTAATTGCTTATGAAATAGTTATCAAGTGGGCACAGTTTAAAGTGAGTTCAAAAGTAATTTTTTAAAAGTTGCTTAACATTTAAGAGATTAAGATGCACAGGGAATGGCCTGTTCAAATGAATAGAAACAAAACTAATAAAAGGTGTAAACCCTGACTTGTAGCTGACCTACACCGGAAATAACATCCTAAATTTCTGCAGGCTGTCCTTTATAATTGTTCTCTGGAGAAGTCCTTGTCCCTGAGGTTCAAGACAAAGGGATTTCGGAAAAGGATGTTTGTCTGCCCCCCTGTTTAATTTCCACAAGTGACCTGCCTTGTTTGAATACTCTCAGGGCACCTTCATGTGATCTGTCCACTCCAACTTCTTCCTGTTTTCACTCTGCGAAACAAAACCCAAAGGCATCAACACTGAATTTAAAATAAATCTCGGTATTTAGGTTTTACCTAAAAATGATACCTTTTAGATTGTAAGAAGGAGATGCAATCGGTTTGTTAGTGAGCAGCTACCCGTGCCTGGCCCTGTGCTAAATGCCACAGTGTAGGGCAGGATGGGAGAGAGAGTCCAGAAACGGGGTGAGAGAGCCAGGCTGGGGAAGGGTTATCAAAGGCGGGCCTCGACAGGGGCAGCTCCGTAGAAAAGAATCAGACCCTTCGAAGGCGGGTGGCATTTTGGTGAGTGGGGAAGAAGATGGCAGAATGAATAATTAGAGGAACAGGAGGGAGACAGACATGAACCTGGTATTGTGAGACAGTGGGATGCTGAAGAGGACAGAGCCATGTTGCAGAGAGCAAGGCAGAGGCATTTAGATGTAATGAGTTAGGTATTTTAATGTTGTGACTTCATGGGTTTCAATCGGGAAGACCAGACATTACAGTAGGCGTCCACAGTACTTTATGCATACCCTGAGTCTAAGGGCACGCTGTGTTTTGGATGCTGCTAATACCTGACTCTGTCCTGAACCCTTGGGATAGGAGCACCTTGACTGCAGGGAGCCCTGTCACACTCATCTTCGCGTCCTCCGTATTTAGAAGAACGACTGGAACGCATGCATTTTTCAAACGAGAAGCTGTAGGAAAAGTAAACGTTTGATTGAAATTGTGGCACATTGGATTGTGTAGAAATACATTTTTACCATCAGGAAAGTTCATATCCAGGAGTTTCTGTTTCTGGGAGAGAAAATAAACAAGAGAGAATCAGGATGCTCCAGAATTCCCTCCAACCTCTTCCAACTCTGCAACATTTATTCCAAACCATACCAGTGGGCCATGCGACTCTGCAATATCCACTCCTAAACCATACCAGTGCTCCATGCAGCAACGGTGCAAAGAGTTCCAGGTCCCCACTCAAACCCTTAGTTCATATTCTAAGGTTTTTGTGATCTTGTTCTCTTTTTTCTCTTGTTTCATGTCCAACCATCCTCATGCTTATGCAGTGCCCGACACAGAGTAAACATTCACAGAGTATTTGCTCAATTAAAGGACTAAGTGAATGAAAATGCCCTGAACGACAGCCGTCCAGAACTACTTGCAGTTCCCCCAACATGCCTTGCCCTTTCAAATTTCCAGCCACCTGTGGTTCTGTTTTCACTGCTGTGCTGTCTTCTTTTCTTGGCTAAATTTTCAGTTTCAGGGTTATGTCAGGTATCCATTTCTCCTAGAAGCCTCCCTAAACATTCCTCCTCCTTAGGATGGTGGGTGGGTTAGGCCTTTACCCTATGCCAGATACCCTTGGATAGGAAGGGTGTAATCCCGTAAACAGTGTGAGTGCCCGTAAGGGTCTAATGAGGTGTGATCTTAAGATCCACTGATGTCAGTTCAAGAATCTGCACATATCTTGGGTAGGAAAAGGGGCTTTTCCTGGGCCATGTGACTTTGGAGACAGCTCTCAAGTCTTAGCCTCCTCTCCAGTCTACTGCTTTGCCGAAGATAACCCTTCTTGAGCACAAGTGAGTTTAAAGAGCTGTCCTTATGCTCGGGTTGTTTTGGTGTAAAGTAATCTCGACTGGGATAAATATTGGGTCAAGAGAAGTCGTCCTTCATCAGAGAAACCCCGTTACCTAAGCAGTGGTAAGAAACAAAGGGTCCCCCTAGACTGCCCTGGTAACCTCCCGGCCTGGCAGCCTCCTCTGATGTCAGCCATCTCTGGTGGCTCATGTGATGTGATCTGACCTTGAAGTATGTGCTCCTGTGATCCAATCCTAGCTCAGGAGGAACTGGAGCAAGCAGGAACCCCGCTTGTCACCCCTCACTCCTTAGGAAGCCCCTAGTGATTTCTGAACATAATAGTAGTGTATATAAAGGGGGAAAAGGTATTTAAAGGATGCTCCAGGACTGTGGTTAGAAATCTGAACTTCCTGTTAATCCAGGCACAGTTTGAGCATTTCACCTTTGAGTACATTCTAGGAGGTGCCATAGGGCACATTCCAAACTTTAAGGACAGACTAACCAGTTCCATACTGTATCCTACATCTTCCTTCCATTCCTCTTGGTTCTCTTTTTATCTGCTTTCAATCTCTTTTCTTCTGTTCTCCCTAATTATGCCCCAGGCTGGAGGCATGTTTAGCAGAAAAACTCAAAACACTGGGGGAATAGATATGTATAATGAATATGTATATAGCTCTTATAATTTTGTTTTATGAGCCTCTTACCAAAATGCTATATGATATGACACTGACAGTGTCATCCAGAAATACAAAGGTTGAGTTTGAGGTCGATCTCTACCTCTTTAACAAGAGCATTTATGATGATGAAGAAATGCTCACTGTAAAAGTTGTACTCAGAACGTAATGGGAGCGGTAAATTGGTAGCTGTCCTTTTCATGTGATAATAATGTATAGTCAAACTATTCCCTGTAGCTCGCTATATAGCAGACACTGCTAGTTACCTACCCCACAAGCATCCCCGCTGCTCTCTCTTTCTTGGATTATGCATGCTAGACTCTTCTCAGGTGGCGACAGACTCAGGGAAAGTGGAGCCCTTCTCTAGCCCTGGGGAACGCACCATGGTCATGACAGATGACGAAGCTATTTCTCTTGTTGATGAATGGCTTAGAGATGGACTGTGGACCTAGTCCAATGAGACTCAATTGGAAGTCAGCTTGAGCAGCTTCTGGAAAGTATTTTGTTCCTCAATGAGAAGGAGAAAGAGAGTGAACTGGGCCCTCTCCTTGACTTGCATGTAGTTATTTAGGGAAAGATGGTTGCTGCTGAGGGTGACATCTCAGTATTACCAGGAAACAATCCATAACACAGTGACAATGCATGGACAAAAAAGAGAAAAAGATCTTGAGACCAGTGTCTCTGATGACATTGGTAATTCGCTGCACCAAACCCAGAACCAGCGAGTTGTGGGCTTCCTACTCTGTGAGCTACTGAAGCATCCTGAATGCTCAAGCTAGCGTTAGTTTCGCTGTTACTTGCTGCTGAATGTACCTTAGCTGCCTCGTTGGTCTGGTCCCCTGCCCTCCCTACTCCCTATATCTGCTATGACACCCAGTAGATACAATCATGGTCTATTAAGATTCTCTGTGATCTAACACTGCTTTTATTTTTGAGACAGGATATAGCCCA